ATGTTCCTATCACTGACACAATGTTCCTATCACTGATACAATGTTCCTATCACGGACACGATGTTCCTATCACTGACACAATGTCCCTGTCACCAGCCCAATGTTCCCATCACTGACACAATAGCTCTGAAATTTACTACTTGATTCTAGAAATACAGACACAATGTTCCTGTTACCTACAGAATGTCTCTGTGTTACAATGATCGTGTCACAAGATGATTGTCAGGTCGACAAACCATACACACAGCAGAACCCGTATTACGCTTGAACATGCCAAAGAGAGGTTATACGTCTATTGCAAGGAAACGAGAATATTTAAAAAAACAAACTCAATATGATCATATATCATGCACATGAAAATAATTACGAAATGTAGAAACATCAACTTTACAGGTTTAGATTATTTCTTGAAAAACTGAAGTTCATTAATTGCATTGCTCCTTCTTCGAAAAGAACATCAAGATGCGCTGAAACAATTCTTTTCTAATCTAGGTGAGTGATGTTCAAGGCTGTGCTAAACCATTCCATATTTACACAACTAAAAGCCCGTGGTTAGCAATAGAGCGTCGTTCATTTGCGTTGTGAAGCCAATATTATTCTCGGCTATAAAAGGGCAAATGTGATATTTGTCCAAATGACGTATGCAACCTCAAAACCACGAGAAGTCCGTGCAAAGTAATTGCTGTTGGTTCAAGAGCTGGGGGTCATTAACAGTAATTAAACCTAACTATTTCCTAATCAATATAGCTCGTAGAGAGGGGGCGAGTAGGTTCCAGCGCCAGTAGTATCGATGAATAAGCTTAATCTTTCGATCAGAACGGGCAGATCGATATTTATGGATATCAAGGGAAAGTAAAGATTGTTGGTTGATACCAAGCGTCTCTGAAATTAGAACTGCTGCCGCTAGGTGGCGCTTCTTGAGCATAAAACCTTGCACGTGTGCTACTTGGAGACACAGAGGGTGTCAGAAGTATCGGAGCGTTTGAATTATCACTGATAAACACGTAAATAACTCATTATCATTTGCATAAAGATAAAATCTTGTAGTTTGCTTTCCCTAACGTAAACATATTTATGTATCAGCCTCGTGTGATTAAATTAGTCATGGTGCTATAAAGAATATTTCTGCAAGGGATTTGGGTAATATAAACTCACGTCTCCTGTTAGTCTGTGTCAAATAATGCCTTGTGTATAGGACCCATTTGTCAAACCCGGAACAATAATTCCAAATGTCTCTTTACACGTGATGGTCGCAAAAAATTGTTTTTTCGTCTCGGGTTCATAATAACATAAATGAACATTGAATATGTGGATTGATGTGGAAAAGATCTTTAGAATTCCCAACAATCACGTCATCAAAATAGTCAGTTTATATTGATATAAATGTATCGTTTCTCTATGTCCGACACTTACTGCAATATCGAGCAATTTTTATGACATATGCTTGTTAAAGAATATGATTTATGATCAAGTTCGCTGTTCGGGTTGTGTACTGAGAAGGAGAAATGGTTGTGGCAATTGAATTGGGAAACTGATCTAAGGGAAATAACTCCGTTCGCATTGTCCGGATAAGTTGAAAGATGCGCGTGTAAAATCATTGAATCGTTTTCAGGTTTTCTACACCAAGTCAGAATGAGTCGTTTGACCAGCTTTTCGTACAGGGTCTTCATAGTCTCTGACATGAACATATGTTAAGGAAAAGTCCGTTCTTATATTCTTATGTTGATAAAATATAATAAAAAGAAGCAGACAGTCTTTCTTCATTTTCAGAACCTGAAACTAAACCAAACTTGCATGGGCTATATTGGATATAAGACCCGTGAAGATCCGGGGTAGAATAGGTTTCAGCAGCCCATGCTTGCCACAAAAGGCGACTACGCTTGTCGTAGGAGGCGACTAACGGGATCGGGTGGTTAGGCTCGCTGACTTGGTTGACACATGTCATCGGTTCCCAATTGCGCATATCGATGCTTATGCTGTTGGTCACTGGATTGTCTGGTCCAGATTCGATTATTTACAGACCGCCACCATATAGCTGGAATATTACTGTGTGCGGCGTAAAACTAAACTCACTCACTATATTGGATATATTGCTTTCAGAGTCTGTGTGACAGACTGAGGGTCTTCAGTGCAGATTGAGACATTTTGCAACTGTGATTAGACGATTTTATAAAAAACTGTTAATTTAAAAAAAAAAAGTGAACATCCACCCAGTAGTCGGAACGGACCATTTTCAATATTTAGTTTTTAACATGATGATGTATGCTGAAGGTTGTTTTTAGGTGAGTGAGTGAGTGAGTGAGTGAGTGAGTGAGTGAGTGAGTGAGTGAGTGGGCGAGTGAGTATAGTTTTAATCCGCTTTAGTGAGTGAGTGAGTTTAGTTTTACGCCACACTCAGCAATATTCCAGCAGTATGGCGGCGGTCTGTAAATAATCGAGTCTGGACCAGACAATCCAGTGATCAACGGCATGAGCATCGATCTACGCAGTTGGGAACCGATGACATGTGTCAACCAAATCTGCGAGACTGACCGCTCGATCCCGTTAGTCGCCTCTTACGACAAGCATGGGTTACTGAAGATCAATATTCTACCCCGGATCTTCAGGGTTCCGCTTTAGCAATATTCCAGCAACATCACAGTGGGGGACACCATAAACAGGCTTCACAAGTGTACCCATGTAGGGAATCGAACCCGGGCCTTGGGCTAGCCACTAGGCTAGCCCACCGCCCCTGTGCACACATGCACGTGTAATAAGCTGGTGGACGCTTAATACTTAAATAACAACACACTCGAAAATCACAGAAACAAACAATGATAATATCCCTTTAGAAATCTAGAGAAAATATTTGGTTTTGTGCAACCCTTCAATCATACATTCATGCTATTATTTCAGCAAGTGTGTGAGTTGAGCTGAACGCAGTTTCAGAGAGTATTTTGGTTAATATTATACAGCGTCTCAGCTTGACGTGTGAAGAATGTCGGAAGCGATGTTAGTTTCAGACATATATATTACTATAATTTTAGGTGAAACAAGCCAGCACGAATATGGTGCTTGCAAAACTAGAAATTTAAACATAATCAGTACAAAAACGGAAATGTTTTGAGTAGGAAACCCGAATATATTAAATCGTTCATGATATGATAGACAGACATTGCGAAATCAGTGACAAAACATGATTTCTCACCATAGAAATAATAAATATTGACGTCCTGGGTTAACTTGTTCGTCTGATCAAACACTGGAATTTGTTTTCCTCACAGACAGAGCCATGGGTTACAGACCTTCGTCAACACCCAACACATTAAATCAATTTACCATATATTTTTTGTTTGTCTGATTGATGGAGCCCGTTCACTGATAAAGACTTTTTACCCATTGACAGGATCTGTCCCTTTATGTGTGGTCGTTATGTGATACCTGTTGTGGAAAGAAAATCTGAAAGCAAAGCCCTGTCGAACGCTTGACCTAGTAATCTTCGTTTAAATAGCATCAAAGCGATCGTTTAAGAAGCTATTTAGTAAAATCATTCCATTAAACGATTTCAGCAGAGGTTCATCTCGTGAGACCATGCCATGAATTTAAGAAGGGCGAGTAAACACGTCTCCGCTAACATGTTTGTATTTTTAGATTGTATTTTTAGTTTTTTAAGGCTGGGATGTGTAAAATATGTAGAGAGGAACTGTGAAAAACACGACAATTTGCACCGTTGTGATGTTTGCATATTCTTGTGGTAATTACTTAACAGGAGATTTGTAATATCTTCTAACAAGGCATGAATGAGAGAGAAAGAGCGAGGGTGACATAAAGAAAGAGGCTTTTCGACACAATGAACTTTACTTATTCAGAGAGAGAGAGAGAGGGAGAGAGAGAGAGAGAGGGAGAGAGAGAGACTGAGAGAGAGAGAGAGAGAGAGAGAGGAGACAGAGAGAGAGAGAGAGAGAGAGAGAGAGAGAGAGACAGAGAGAGAGAGACAGAGACAGAGAGAGAGAGAGAGAGAGAGAGAGAGAGAGAGAGACAGAGAGAGAGAGAGAGAGAGAGAGAGAGAGAGACAGAGAGAGAGAGACAGAGAGAGAGAGAGAGAGACAGAGAGAGAGAGAGAGAGAGAGAGAGAGAGAGAGAGAGAGAGAGAGAGAGAGACAGAGAGAGAGAGACAGAGAGAGACAGAGAGAGACAGAGAGAGAGAGAGAGAGAGAGAGAGAGAGAGAGAGAGAGAGAGAGAGAGAGAGAGACAGAGAGAGAGACAGAGAGAGAGAGAGAGAGAGAGAGAGAGACAGAGAGAGAGAGAGAGAGAGAGAGAGAGAGAGAGAGAGAGAGAGACAGAGAGAGAGAGAGAGAGAGATATATATATATATCAGAGAGAGAGAGAGAGAGAGAGAGAGAGAGAGAGAGAGAGAGAGAGAGACAGAGAGAGAGAGAGAGAGAGAGAGAGAGAGAGAGAGAGAGAGAGAGAGAGAGAGAGAGAGAGAGAGAGACAGAGAGAGAGAGAGAGAGAGAGAGAGAGAGAGAGAGAGAGAGAGAGAGAGAGAGAGGGGGGAGAGAGAGAGAGAGATGTAACAAACAAATGGCGACTCCCAACAACTATTTCTAAACATCAATGATGTACTTGTTGAATTGCCGAATCATCCGTTGTTTGTTTCCAAACTAAAACATTGTTTTCCTCCACTCTGTCGTGTCGGTGTGATTAAATCACAGTATGTCATCGCGACCTACATCTATTGATCTTGGAAACCCGAAACAATTGCAAAGAATGAAACCCCAGAGGACTTTCTCACGAAACCCATACAATTGTAACACTGGCACTGGACCGACACCGTCGATACTGGCTGCAAAAACACTGATTTCAACTTAACAGTTCGTGACGAGGTCCTGGTGATGATCAGTACCTACGATTTAATCAACGTGCTATGGACAATATATGCAGACTAGGATATACGCTCACAAGCAGAATAACACAGTTCAAATTGTATTCTCCCAGAAAGTTGTAAATGTCTACTTACAAGCCTTTTCCCGTTGTTTCGGAGGGACGGGAGCTTGCCGTAAGCTCTTGGAACGCCGTTGGAACGAGGAGTCTTAAATACACAGTGGTCTGTAAATGAAGAGAAAACAAAATACTATTAGTATTGAATCATAACGTTTGTATTAATACAGTACTGCTCAAAACTGATTACCTCTTCTTGGCAGTAGGTTTCGCAAATGTATCGCGAACGCGCTCGATGATACCGCGATACTAACGCGTTACATTCGCAATTGTAACGCGGCCATATCGCATTAGTTCCGCGTGAGGAGGAGCAGGAGTGTATGGTCGTATTTGTAAGTTTGCAAATGCGTAGGTGATGCTTATGATATCAGTCACTACATTAGCTAGTCCAGATTCGGATATTTACAGACCGCCGTCATTGGATATTGCTGAGTGAGCGTTAACCAGCAAACAAAGTACGTGCATGTACGCATATAGATCACACCTGCAGGAAAGAGTAAGGCTTCACTGATACACACGTGATTTATAGGCCACTAAGCGTGCCGTTCTGCAAGGAAACCTTTTAGGGCCATTCGTTTTATATATTTTTCAAGATATATAGTTGAAATGTCAAGATGCTATGTTGAAATGTTAAGACACTAAGCTGAAAGTTTACGTTACATGTTTATTAAAGGTTTCATGCATTATGTTGAAATTTCATATGATATATATAATATATATAATATGTTATTATTCATATTATCTTCATATTGGAACCTATTATCCTGAAATTTCAAGATCATTATCCGTAGCGTCTTGAAATTTCGACATCGTGTCTTGATATTTCAAGAGTGGGTGAGTATTGTTTTACGCGCTTTAAGCAATATTCCACCAATACCACGGCGGGGGACACCAGATATGGGCTTCACACATTGTAGCCATGTGGGGAATCGAACCAGGGTCTTCGGCGTGATGAGAGAACACTTTAACCACTAGGCTACCCCACCGCCCCGACATTTCCAGAAGGAAATGATGAAAATCCCCGAATGGCCCCCAAAGACTTCCGTACTTCTAGGGTCAGTCCACTAACCAGCAGCTCATTCTACAGTTGTGTAACACAACTGATTTATTGTTGGTGTAATTGTATCCAACAACACTAGGTGTGAAGTGTTTGATCCGCCTGATGTGACATCCACCGGATTTAATAGGTAACACTCAACACCAGTAGTTCTTACCTATCCGGCGCGCAGAGGAGCGGTGCCTTGGTGATTGATTAGCCACAGGTAGATCAGGTAACCTGATAGCCCACAGGTATGGCGTCCCATTATGGGGAAACTATATAGTGTGCATGGCACATGTTGAACACACAAATATATTGTCGTGTCATATTATTTGTCTTGGTTATAATAAAAAAAATGACACGAGCTTGAATCAATATTACCATAAAATAATTACGTTACGTAAAACAAACAATTTAACGTACACAAAAAGATTTGCTTCTGATTAAAAAATTGAATTGTTTGCTGAACTAATATTGATATTTTATCTCACATTGCACGTATACAAACTGTCGGGAGACAATAGATTTAAACACCTAATTGTATTGACCAGCTTGTCAAATAAGAGCAAAATTTCATTTGAAGGAAAGATTACAAACCTTATCTACACAGTGTGAAACTGAAAAGTGTCGCCGAAATTCTGCAAGCCTCTTACACCTAGCGGACCGGTGGGGTCACGCCGAGGACCCGGGTTCGATTCCCTAATTGGGTACAATGTGTGAAGCCCATTTCTGGTGTCCCCCGCCGTGATATTGCGGGAATATTGCTTAAAGCGACGTAAAACCATACCCACTCACTCTAAAACCCTGCCATGATATTCGTATCAAAATTCATCGCCATCGAATGACCATTTCTTGCTTGTTTCAGCTTCAGCTACCACCAGCCATGGAGTATACTATGTTAATCCGTCAGTATATATGGTGTGAAGTAATCTGATGACTAGCTTAGCCCGAAAGGAAATTAATTTGATAGAAATGAAACCATATTAACCTTTTTGTCCGTCAGATTATTAGGATTTTGACGTGTTATTAAATTTCTGATATGTTATGCGATTACGTGGTTAGTGTGGAAGGTATTTCTGTTGAATATTTAATAGACTATCGATTAAAGATAAACAGAGTTGTGAGATATATGCATTGCAAGGGATTATGCCGGAGTTATGGCAGGTCTATAGATACTTATATCTCAGTGTCTATTTTAACGCGGAAGAAAATCGATCTGAAACTGTCAATGAGTTAATCCGTAAGCCCTTGATACGGACCAATAGGAGGGACCATATCCTTGTGTTAAGCCCATGTCGGAGTTGCTAAGACGCACCCCGAGTAGGTAGACACACTACGAGAGGGACTTATCTCAGCTGGAAATATCACAACAAATGTTATCGTCTCTCAAGTAGGGGACACGACACAGACGGTGGAGGGGGTGGTGTTAGAGGGGTAGTAGGTGGGTGAAGGGGTGGTAGGGGTATAGGGAAGATGTGACGTCGGGGGTTACTTGGGGAAGAAATAAATAAAATAACATGCAATAACGTGTTTTTGTAATATATTTTGGGATAAGTTGGCTATGGATTTGGAATGACGAAAACGAAAAAGCCCTGTACAAGGCCTGAAAAATGGAAGCGTCGATGACTCTGACGGGGTAGAGGGGCGCATGGCGAAATAATGCCAGGTCTGGGGGTTAATTGGGGAAGAGACATGTAATAACGTGTTTGGTCTGGTTTGGGAAAGGGTGGGGTGGATTTGGAATGATGAAATCATCAAAATATCCTATTTTAGGCCTGAAAAAGGGAAACGTCTCTGACGGGGCGGAGGGGCGAATGGGGAAGTTATACTAGGTCTGGGGGTTAATTGGTTAAAAATTAATTAAAATATCATGTAATAACGTGTTTGGTGTGGTTTAGGATAGGGTGGAATGGATTTGGAACGATGGAAACATCAAAGTCCTATGCAAGCCTTAAAGAGGGAAGGGGCGGTGGGGTAGCCTAGTGGTTAAAGCGTTCGCTCGTCACGCCGAAGACCCGGGTTCGAATCTCCACATGGGTACATTGTGTGAAGCCCATTTCTGGTGTCCCCCGCCGTGATATTGCTGGAATATTGCTAAAAGCGGCGTAAAACCAAACTCACTCACTCACTCACTTAAAGAGGGGAACGTCTCTTGTGTCGGTACGTGAACTTAACCCCTGAGCTAGTTACTTTCTGTTGCCAATGAGTAAATAGCTTTCACCTTTTCTAATCCGAAAAATAAAACTGAATCTCTCCCTCTTTCCAAGGAGCTGTTTGAGGGCATTTTATGGACATCAGCCTATTGACAATCGGAAGATATACTTGACCTATCAGTGTTAAGCCCGCTACAGTGCATTGAGGTGCCAGCAATACACGAATAATTAGTGCCAGAAATAAAGTTATCACATCATAAAATATCATAAAATAAAAAAGACAAAAAAGAAATCCGAATGGTTCCTAGACTGACATTTAGTGCAAGAAATTTAGAGGCAAAGTACATAATTTCTATATTGATAATATATTTACATAAATAAATAACATCCATACGGAGGCTAGACCAAATGTTTCTACGGCTGCGGCAATCGAGAGTTGCCCAATCATTCTAAACTTGAGTTGGACTCCTTTTTAAATTATTTCTCAGGGTCGGAGAGACATACTAAAATAGAGGTCAGAGCAATGATTATTTTCTGACTTCTTTGAGTGGCATTTAGAAGCTGGTATGATGAACAGAAACGATGTCTTATGGATAGACAACTTCTTTATTGCAATGGATGCCACGTTTCCGTGTAGATGCTAACACCGTTATCAAGCACGTGATACGCATCATTATGGACAAGGAGAATATATATCATGCAATAAAGAAGTTGTCTGTCCATAAAAATTCGTTCGTGTTAATCATTTTCTGACCTGTCATTCTAGACTTTCCAATTTCATTCTAGTCTTTCGTTAGATGTATTTTAATGTATTCTGTTGTGTCTTGGAGTCAGACTGTTCCGGTAACTGAGATGGGAGATAGACTTACTACGGGGTATGTTATCATAGGGCGGCATCAGTGGTAAGGATATGGGCAATATGTCCAACACTTGAAGACACTTGACTTCTGTTGATTTAACGGGACGTGAGGAGACGGCAAATAGTCACTGGACAAACAGCTTGGTTTAAGAATTTGCAAAGTTCTTAAAATTCATAATGCATGTTTGTGCTAAGTAGAAAGACAAGCGACCAGATTAAAAAGCACACCATCACATTTGTTTGTTTGATCCTTCAATTTTATTCGGGCATATTTTTATACAATTCATACTGCCCTTCGCTGCCCTCATTTTACAACTTTTTGTGATCGACAAATCATGTTGTTGAATACTGGATTGCCTGTTCAGACTCAATTATTTACAGACCGAATATTTACAACAAGAATATTGCTGAGTGTGGCGTTAAACAACACAAAAACACACAAACACGCAAACAAATCACAGTCTCTGTAAAGACACTTCATTTAATTGATGTCCCTTCCTCTGATCCTAAACTCACTGAGAAAACATAGTGAGTAAGTGAGTGAATTGGGTTCAACGCCACTTTGAATATCATAGTTCCAGTTACATAATGGAGCGTCTACAGTTTGACGGTTACCACTCTGGTAACGGTATAGACAAACCCACAAACACAATCGGGACGAACCGGATTCGAACCCACGAACCTAGGTTCCTGGCGTGCCTTAATTACGCAACCCAGCGATTTGCTTAATCACCTTTTTACTCCAGAAGCCCATTTCCTTCCTTCAGCACACTGAGATTACATTACATCTGTAGGAATGTTTAAATGGTGTTAAAATGCAAATGTTTAATTCTGACGCAGATGGGGTCTTCGAGCAGTTATATTGCCAGAGCGTTCAATTGTTTAACATTCAATTGTTACTTGATAGACATGCCCACAATAAAACCTGAACTATTTTAAATATAAAATGGTTGCCAAAATGTGTGTTAAAGTAAAATGCACATGTGGCTTTATAAAGTACCGGTTTGAGCTGAGATAGCAAGTGTTAATGGTCGAGTGAACATGTTTAAACAGTTCG